AAAAAATGTTATGAAAATCTTTTAAAAATTCCTTGACCCCAAAGCAAATAACAGTGTAACAGGGCCAGAAGCCACACAGAGCGACTAAGTAAACAGCATTTGCGGCCAGGCAGAGCTGAAGCTGTAGCCAAACCTGGAACTGAGAACTGGGAACTGGGAACCGCAACGGAATTGTGCTGAACCGTGGACATCAATCAAAAATGTGAAAGTCGGCGATCTGGGGCATGGAATTTTCAATTTCGACTTGCGGCTGAATATATTAAATTGTTGCGGTCGCCTCGCTGTTTACCAAGTGGCCGAGAAGCCCTTGCCATTGCCATAATTTATGTGCAGAAATTGAAATAATGTCGAAGCGTTTCCACAGAGACGCCACCCACCACACCCTCGCCAGGGCCACAAATTACAGTGGCTGCTGCAACAGCTCGCACAGCTTCCCATTCAGCAAAGACTCTTCAGTTTTCTAGTTTCCCTTCACTCAGCTCATTGACAGTCCTTCGGCTTGGAGCGTTAACGCATCAATCAATTTAAAGATGCAACCACAAAAGGCAACAATGAATGAATGATGGGCGTGGCAAAAGCTGAACAGCAGCGATTGGTACTTTTGCATTGACGTGACCGATTTTGATTTGTTATTTGGCTTGTCGAAGATTGCAAATCACTTCAAATGTCAGTTGAATGTGATGCATAACTTCAATCGCAGCGCTCAACCAACAATTGGGTATATAGCACATAAATATACGCATTATATAGATAGCTGTGACAGATCTGCGAGTCTCTAGAGTCTAGGTCTTGGTACAAAAATCGGATAGCTTAAATGGCTTAAGCCAAATATAAACAGCCTGGCACATGTGAGAAAAACACATCCTAAATCTGACAGACTTTCAGATTACGTTTCTCATTTCAAATGAACAACTCCACAAATATAGCTGACAATCTACAACAAATTTACATTTGATTAAGAAAAGGCTTACGTTAACAATTCTTTTAAAATAGGCTTCGGCTTGGTTTTGGGATTAACTCAAATCTTTTTTTGGGCAACTAGTAAAAGATGTTTTGGAAATTCAAGCTCGAGCTCAAAATAGATTTGCACATTTTGTGAATATTTCCTTAAGGAATTCAATACTTTTGAATTGATTTGAGAGCAGATTAGCTTATCAATTTTTTTTTGTGCACTAAATATTGGAAAATATTTAAAAAATCAAAGAAAATACGTGAAAAACTTACCAATGTATTTCCAAATATAATTTCGTTTATATGCCTTTTCTTTCAATTACAAAAACAACATCCTTCTGTAAAAGAAAAATAGAAAAAATTTGCTATAATAAATATATATTAAATATATTTGTAGATTAAATTGAAACAAGTAAGAGGTTCTAGTCGGGAGCTTCCGACTAGGGGATACCCTGAACCCTCTTCTTCCAACATTAAATGCATATATGTATATATTCTATTCTAGAAGCTACATGTCAAGTTTGGTAACTCTAGCTCTTATTATTTACCAAAATTGCCCAAAAAACAGGATATCGATATCGATTTTTATCGATTGCTTGGAAACGGAGTAAGTTATCGATTATCGGAAACAAACTCTATCTGCGCGGAAACTAGGAGCACCTACATCTAGTCTCTAGCTCTTATAGGTTTTGAGATCCTTGCGTTCATACGTACGGACAGACGGATGGACAGACAGACGGACATGGCTAGATCGACTCGGCTATTGATGCTGATCAAGAATATATATATACTTTATGGTGTCGGAGATGCTTTCTTCTGCCTGTTACATACATTTGCATTTTGCACAAATACAGTATACCCTTATACCCATTTTTAATGGGTTCAGGGTATAAAAATATATATATGGGACCAACATGGAGCAGCAGCTCGCCAGTTCAAATTCAGCACCGGATATCCATAAGAGAAATGTCAAACATATTGCACAATATATACTCTGATTAGTTATGTAATAGTTTATTAAACTTCAGCTTCTTTTGTTTCAGTCAGCCCTTGGCTAGACACCAATTCGGCAGCTCTATCAATTCAAAAAGCTGCACCCTTTTTTTTTTGTAGCCACTTGCAGAGGATGCACGCATTTTGTGAGGCAAATCGAGCGCAAAAATAAATAAAAGTTGCAACGAGAAAAAAATGGCCAATGAGGCGGGGATTGGGCTGGGGCCAATTGGTGGATGTTGGCACTTAAAGCTTTTAGCCCCGTTTCGGTTTATTGGCTGGGCTACCTATGCCTATGCCTATGCCTATGCATTGGGCCATTTAGCAGGCGGCTTTTTTGCGACTGACCAAACAAAGCGCTTTTCAGCGAAATGTGGAATATTGCGCATACGCCGCGTGTTGCCTTATCGGGAGAAAGCGGCATTGGCAGCTAGCGGCAAGGCTCAGGACATGAGCCTGCATATTTATGAGCCTCGGCTAAGGACACTGCTTATGGGCTTTGATGTTGGGCGCGATTTGTTTTTTTTTTTTTTTTTGCACGCTTCGCAACAAATGTTGACAGACATCCGGAAGAGGCTGTGGGGTTTTGGGAGTAGGTGCTGTGGAATTTAGGGGTAAAGTGTGGGCTACAGGTCTACAGGTCCAGCTGTCTGTTCTGTCCTTTATAGGGTGTGGGGTGTAGGGTGTAGGCTGTAGAGTCTGGGCTATAGGGTGTGAGGTGTAGGTTGAAGGGTGCAGGTTTTCGGGTGTAGGGTGTGGGTACAGGCTGTAGGATGTAAATAAACTGGCGCGAATAAAGAGCTCAGCATACAGATTTAAAGGTGTAGGGTGCACGGCTGTCTGGCTGACCTAGTAATATCTGGTGCATGATGTAGGATAAAGGATATAGAACATATGATAACGTTAAGTGTAGGGTGCAGAGACAAGTCTGAATGACCCAGCCTAAGTTGAGCTGAATGGGCTGCTCTAGTAATATAGCGCGTAAGGATCAGATATTGAGGGATACGTTAGCAGTCTGAGCTACCCAGTTTAAGGAGTTCGGAGTGCACAGAATAAAGTGAAAAACGTGCAGGCTAAAAACAAGCTCAGGCATGAGTTGTATATGGCTTAAAGTTGGGTGTGTGTGCCCAGTGCAAGCTTAAGTAGTAGCTGGAGTAGCTGGAAATGCAGAATTAAGCTCTTAAGCTGTTGAGTGCTGGGCCAGACAATTAGACGGGCAACCTAAATTGCGTTTGAGCTGCCACAGCATTTGTTTCGTGTCGTGTTGCAAGTGTTCGCCGGACACGTGCCGCATTGGCCCCATTTGACAGCTATTGACAAGCGCTTTTCACATTTATTGACAATTTCGGGCTCGGCCATGAAGTGCGCTTCAATCTGTCATGTTGTTGACAGTGCACAAAAGTGTCGTCAAATGCTATAGAAAGGGCTCACAGCCAACATGGGCCAACATGGCCAACAATGTTGCAGTTGAGTGCGCGATAAACTTGGCCGCAAAATGACATTTGATAGTTCTCGCATAGAATGAGAGAACAGCTCTGATACTTGACTCGCCTGTTTGACTGCTTTTAACAGCCGAGGACATGAAGTCATTCGTTTTACTTGCGCCTCGATTTAGGCAACACAATTTTTAAAAGGGCAACTTAATTTGTTATGGCTCGAAAACGGCTAACAAATTATGCATATTAAGTATATTTGGGCGCTTATCAAAAAAGGGTTCAGCTTGAAGGTAAAGTCTCTGTAATCGGGCGTCTACGACTAACGAATGCCCTGCAATTCGCAGTTGACTTATTATTATTATAAATTAATTATGCCTCACATCAGCGTTTTGTCTGGAAAGCTCACAGATAGCCCTGCTCTAGCTGAATCTACAAGTTTCTTACAGTCATGTAAAAGACTCTGCGACATTTCTTACCTATTCTGGCTGTAGGCTATACCCTATAAAGTGGCTCTCTAGAGTTTAATTTTGCCGCTATGGCCGTCCCGCAATTAAACAACAATTAAAAAAAACAAAAATTCAGCGCGAGGCAGAGGCAGCTGGCAACTGGGCATGGGACCGGGGAAGGGTTTTGGTTGGCGGGTCTGGGTAAAATTGGAGGCTGGCAGCTTGGGCCCGCACACAAATTACTGTGGCTTAATTAATGGCCAAGAGACGTTGTGTGCGTCAACAAGCAAAAGTTAAAGCCTGGCCAAAGAAAACCGAACAGGCAAGACAAAGTTTTTTTTTTAAGGGACTGACAGCTGCTGAGGGTGGGTGTAGGGCGTAGGAGTCTCTGCTTGTTTAATGACAGGCGTTGACGTGGCCTACGTGAGTTGTTGGGGCGACAAGAAAGTGCGACATTTTTTAGCCAGGCAGACGCAGCTCAGCCGCAAATACGCCAGCGGCTCTTGACGTCACAGCAGCATCAGCAACAAGATGGAGAACAGCAACAACATGCGGAACAAGCCTGGCAACCAGAGCTATTTGACTAAGCAGCATTTTTGGGCATGCTGTCGACAGATATTTTGCAGTTTGTCAGCGGGTGTGTGTGTGGCTGTGTGTGTATGTGTGTGTGTGCGCGTGTGTGTGTCATGTGCGACATGCTCATAAAAAGCGTTTATTTAGCCAAGAGCCAAGCAAGTGGCACATGACACCAACAACAACAACAACAACAACAACAACAACAACAACAACAACAACAACAACAACAACAACAACAACAACAACAACAACAACAACAACAACAACAACAACAACAACAACAACAACAACAACAACAACAACGACAACGACAAACAGACAACGACAAAATGGCGACGTGCCAAAACTCCAGAACGTGTGATCTGCGTTGGGCGTTTGGGTTGGGGGGCGTGGCACGGTTGTTACATTACCCGGCCAGAGTGTGGGTAATGCTGATTTGGCTTTTACCACATGATTATGTCTTAACTGAAAACTTGCTGTTGTTATTATTCTTGTCCCCTTTTCTTGTTCATTTTTTTTTTGCTTTCTTCTATTTTTGTTTTTTTTTTGGTGATTGAACAACTCTTTCATGTCTCGCATTTGCTTTGTTTTCTTTCAGGCTGCCAGTTTGTTAGGACGCTTTGCATACCCCACTCCGAGGTCTGTTACGATGGTAAGTTGAGATATCAGCGACAACAGTCGATTAACTCGATATACACTACCCACAACAACAACAACAACAACAGCATCCGATTGTGTGTTTATGAAGTGTCAGCGTTTGTCTGTTTATCAACTGTGCGGAAATATGATAGTATTTAAAATGGCTAGGGTAAGTTTGGGCAATTGATACACATCTTGATGGCTAGGGTTTTTTTCGGTTAAAACTAAATAGTTGGGCGTGTGGTTAAACGATTGCAAATGAAAAACGAAATGTATCAAATTTTATTAAAAATAGGTAGATATTTTAAAAGCAGACGAAGGAAAGCACTTGCGTTGAGAAGAGGTAGCCCGTTCTTTTGAAAAAGTTAGCTTGATAGCTTAAAGTGCTATCATAAATAAAGAAGAAGCAACATATATTTTATGCCCCATTATTCTCGTATATTAGAAAATAGCTACAATTAATAGATATTCACTTAGATGTCTGTAGATGTAACAATAAAACACTCTGATAAAAACTGAACACAACTTGAAAGCGAAGCATTACTTGAGGCTGTCAGCAAGATTCGAATCTGTAGGGTATTCCAATCTCAAGAAATCTAAGCAAAAAGTGAAACAATCTTAAATAATAAACAAAGTATTGATAAAACAAGAACAAGTCACAATTAAAAATTTGATATAAATATGGCATCAAATATTTAATGCGGGCTGTGAAATGTGAATCTTTAGCTGCAAGCTGAAGCAATAGAAAATAGCGAACAATTTCAGATATGGAGCATTAATAGTTATGAAATGAAAAGAATGAAGAATGCGCTGTGCCCGACTAGGAGATACCCTTGATTCTGCCAACACGCCTGTAGCTAAGTATTTAATGAAAGATACTTGATCTGTGTATACTTTTCTACCCAGATACCGTGAGTCGAGTTGCCATTAGAAATATTCTTGTTATCTCATACATACATACACGGAGACATATGGGAACTGTGCTTCTTCTTCCCTTAGTAGCACAATTTATATGGGAAATGCAATCTTAGTTAACTTCGGTGCTTGTAATCCGATTCTTATGAAATTTTCAGTGCCTAATCAAGGCATGCAAAACTCTGTAGTATATACCAAAGCGAATAGATCCTATTCTTATAATTTGGTTTTCTTCTACATCCAGTGCATAAAAACAAATCTGATTTTATAAATTTTTAGCATGAGCTCCTTGCAGACTGCAGTTCGTGTGCTCTTCGATTTAGGGATGTTTTTTGCAGCACTTGAACATTTTTAATGACACGTCTTGAAGCGGTGTTCATTTGAAACCTGGACTGCACCCTCAAGGGCTGCTCAATTGCACTAAGTGCTCAATGGCAGGCGGGCCTGCAATATAAAACGACTTCACACACACAGCGGGAGAGAGAGAGAGAGAGAGAGGGGGAGAGAGGAGGGGAGAGAGGGAAACGGCGATTGCCAACAGTTACCCAAAATGCGCTTTAGACCCTAAAAACCAAAAAGCATTTGTGGGTCAAATTGCGTTCGGGCACAGCTGAGTTTTGGGACCTATTTTCCCGGGCCCGGAGTACATTATCGTATTTGCCAAGCGCTTGAATGCCAGGCACATTCTAAAAAGGACACCCAAAACAAATTGGGGGCAGAGTGCAGGAGGCAGGACGTAGGGCGCAGGAAGCAGGAGGCAGAGGCTTGTTCTCGCCAGTGCATTATCGAGAACACACTCAATTACTTATGTAAGCACTGCGAAATTTGTGAATGGCTGTGGCGGGGGGGGGATGGCCAGAACAATTGCAGCTGCTGCTCGGAGAAAACCTGTGAAAAATTGTGAAAATTGCAAAAGGCAAAAGGCAAAAAATGTTCGCACGGCAACATGAAAGGGGAAGGTGCACTCAGAAAAAATATGCTGAGCATAAAATAAGACGGATTTCAAGTGTCAAAGTTTGCTAAGCCTCTTACGATTTTGTTCCTCGTAATAGGTTTAATACTCAAATACTCTAAAGGAATTCTTAAAATCAGCTAGTTGAGCGTGCTCGACTCGGAGATACCCTGAAACTCCTATGGCTATAATATCTTCAGTGTTTACTGTCAGACTTGTGTATAATCAACTTAGACAAGGACCATGCCCCCCGAACAACTGTGTTTTAAAATGTTGTGTGTTAGTTATTGAAAATTATTCAAAATTCTGAGAATATTTTGATCTGTATATAGAACGGAAGAGTCTACATACCATATTTTGATGGGTTTAGCCCGCATAGTTATCCATGATTAGAAAATCTGCAAAGGCAATGAAAGGAGATATGTTAAAGATTTCATGGCAAGATGCAATTGGCTTTTGATGTAGATCAAGAGTATAGATATACACTTTATGTATTCGGAGAAGCCTACTTTTGCATATGGCATACATTTGCACAAGATTCCGAGTTCATATTAGTTAATTAATGAATAATAGAAAAACAGAAAACAAACTTCATTTGCAGCAGGGAATAAAATTTGAATTGCGAATCTCAATTAGAATGAAATCATGACTGAGGGAAGTGTACAGAGTATTTTTGTCAGTGTATACACACATAGGTGTAGGTATGCTGTGTGACTGACTACTGCACACGCAGTTTTTCGCACACCTCCAACCCCGCATTTGCATTATGCAAATGATGTTCGAGGCAGCAGCAAGGATATACATTTAAATGCTCGTAAATCAGGGTGAAAACAAAAGGTGTCCGATGTGTGTGTGTGTGTGTGTCTGGGGCAGGGGCCCAGGTGAAGGTGGATTGTGTAAGACACGCGCTATTAATGCAGTTACATGGCCTATTAAAATTGTGGAATAATTTGCATTCGCAGACAACATCTTTGGCAAGTGCATACCAACCACTGGAGTCGACGTGGAGGACATTGAGAGGTAATTAAGCTTGTTTAAATTTCTGCAGGGTTTAATTGTGTGCGTGTGTGCGTGTGTGTGTGTGCTCGCATTGCAGGACACCACTCACCGAGGAGCAATCACGTCTGCTGGCAACCATGCTGGAGGAACTGCAGGGCGCCGGCCTAGGCTGGGATCATCATTATGTGCAGTGCCGGATCCAGGGCGCGCTCTTCTCGCTGCAGCGCCAACAGCAGCTGCCGCCGAATCTGTGCGCCAATCTGGCGCCGGCCCCACCCGAATACGGTGATCCGGCGAGCGCGTTAGCCTATGTGCGCTTCACGCCACCGGAGCCGGTCGAGCAGCTGGAGGCGAATGTGGACTATTACGAGCAGCTGCTGCCAGCCAGGCCGGCGCAATTCTATCCGACGATGCGCAAGAAGCAGCCGCAGGACAGCGGCTTCAATAGCATACTGCATCAGCTGCAGCTGCAGGATCGGAGGCGACTGCGTCACGATCCGCTCGAGCTGGAGCACTTTGGCAAGCTGGACGGGCATACGAAGAGCACGCAGCTGGAGTTGCCGAGCGTAATGGATGCCTTTTTGGATACGGAACGGCAGCGCATCGAACGCGAGCAGCAGCTGCGTCTCGCCGAGCAGGATGGCAGCGCGGCAAAGGTGGAGCAACAGAATCGTCTGGAGCTCTATCAAATACTGGCCGACTCCGAGCCCGATCCGCAGCCGTATCAGCGCAAGCCACAGCCGGCGAATGCCATGGACCAGCTGGAGGCCATTGTCGAGAAGCAGCAGCACCAGCAGCACAAGCAACAGCAGCAGCAGCAGGAGGATCAGCCGCAGGCCGTGCCCGTCTATTTGCCCGAGGAGCTAAACGAATCCAGTGAGCTCTATTTTCCGGACAACTATGCGCCGCTGAAGCGTCGTGGACAGCAGCAGCCCGTGGAGCCCCCGAAGCGTTCCTTCTTCCGCGAGCTGGCCAATGAGCAGGGTCTGCCCCAGGAGCCGTTGGTCGAGCTGGCTGCACAGCCGCAGCCGGAGCTGATGAAGCGTCGGCCGGAGCTCAGTGCCCGGGAACAGCAGGAGCTGGCATTTGAGAGCAGCTTGCGGCGCAACTCGCTGACACCCTTGGAGGAGGAGGCCATGCTGGCCTCCAATAGCTATCCACGCGCCCTTCAAAATCAGCGCGTGTTTACGGAGGGTGGCATGCTGCTTGTGCCGCAGGAGGAGGAACAGCAGCAGCTGGCGGACTCGGCCCAAGCAGATGAGCCGTCGGATATCAAGCAAACGCTGCTGGCCAACATGTTGGGCTTTGCGCGTCACGAGCGGCTCGATGTGAAGAAGCCGGGTCCGCAGCTGGGTCCACCGGCTGAGCTGAGCCACCAACTGGAGACGGAGAAGCCGCGATCGCACACGGAGGATGTCAACAAGGAGGTGATGCCTGCCCACGTCAAAGGCGGCGATGTCAACGAGCCGTACAAGAAGAAGAAGCTGGTCAATGAGCAGCACTCGGACGAGGATCATGCGCCGCACACCGTAGACACTGAATATGCCCATGTGTTCGTCAAGAACCCGTAAGTACTTGGTTAATCAACTGTAGAAGCCTTTTGGAACAGCTCTCATTTGCTTGACTCTGTCTCGGTCTCGTCTCTTGCAGTATCGACAGCTGGTACGATGGGCAGCGCATTATGAATGAGCTGGCGCAAATACTACACATGCAGGGATACTTTTCTTATTTAACGTACGTAGCATGCGCATGGTAAAAGATATCATGAACTTTAAACTGCATTGTGTCTTTTCGTGATAGTTAGTTCCTTCAGTTTTCCCTAATTAATCTAACGCCACACCAATTGCAGCGTTCAACCACACGAAGTCAGCTTCCGGGTGGACTCAAACAACCCCGAGCGCAAAACGGCCGCAGATGTGGCACGCTACATCAATGAGAACCGCGGCGTCAAGAACAACATCCAGCGACGCGTCGGCTTCTATGTGTTGCACGCCGGCGTCGGGGATCGGGTCAAGGATCTGCGTGATCCGAGCATTTCCGCGTCCCGCATTGAGCTCGCCGAACAGGGACCGGATGTGACCCACATTATGGCTTACATGTTCGCCGGTGCGGGCGCAGCGGCTGTGATTGTGATCTTTGTGACGCTGATTCTGATCAAGCGACACGATCGCAAGCGCGATAAGCTGGGCGGCTTGCAGTCGGGCATGTCAGGCGCCGAGAGCTGCAGCAAGGATTACCAGGAGTTGTGTCGCGCGCGCATGGCCGGCAAGAATGGCAACACAGCGACTGGCAATGCTGGCAATGGTGGTGGGGCTGGTGGTGCTGGTGGCAGTGGTGCTGCTGGTTCAAATACCACCGAGCAGCCGCACAGCGGACGCATCATGTCGCTGAGCAAGGAGAACGAGGGCCGGCCACCATCCTCGCGCTCCAGCACCTCATCGTGGAGCGAGGAGCCAGCATTGACGAACATGGACATCTCAACCGGACACATGGTGCTGGTACGTAGAAACCCCCCACTTTCTAACTTCTGCCTCACTTAGTAATCGCCCACATTGTGCAGTCTTATATGGAGGATCATCTGCGCAACAAGGGACGTTTGCAGCGCGAGTGGGAGGCGCTTTGCCGCTACGAAGCCGAGCCGAGCGCTCGGGATGCCGCCTCCCAGCCGCAGTGCGTCAATCTGAATCGACCTGGCGCACCGCTGCCCTACGATCACTCGCGGGTGGTTCTCAATCACTTGGCCAATGCTGAGGGTCTCGACTATGTGAATGCTTCAACAATTGTGAGTAGACATTCGTTATACCTATATTAAATATCAAGTATTTATCGAGTAAAACTTAAAAGCAAAATTGACGCTGGTGATGAATTTTAAAGGTTTACTGATATGGAAACTATAGATACGCAATTTATGAACAGAGCTAAGACTTTTTTCTGTGGTAGCTTATCGTATTTCTTCAAATACGATATTCACGCTGACGCGAAAAGTGTGTGAAATAAGTATAAATATCATCGAAACAATTGAGACGAAATGTGTTATCCCCATTTTTCTTCAAATACGATATTCAGACTATGAGACGAGATGTGATAGCCACATTTGATTACATGATGATGATAAGTTTGATTAACAGCTGCAGTAACTTAGCATCGAAATACTTAAAGATTTTGAGCATTTCATAATTTTCTGGGTTCACACTCTCAAACCCTTTAAATGTTTCTATTTGCCCCGTCAGACTGATCACGATCCCCGTGCACCCGCTTATGTGGCTGCCCAGGGTCCGCTGCCCTCAACGTTGGCGCACTTTTGGCAAATGATTTGGGAGCAGGGCGCCGTTGTTATAGTCGCCTTATGTCGCCTGCAGGAGAATGGAGAGGTCGCCTGTGCGCGCTACTGGCCGGAAGAGGGTGCTGAGGTTTATCACATCTATGAGGTGAGCCTGCCAGCAGCTAGACCCCTGCAACCCGTGGCATGCGTAACTAAGATTCGATCTCATCCCTATGCAATAGGTTCACTTGGTTAGCGAGCACATTTGGTGTGATGATTACCTCGTACGTTCTTTCTATTTGAAAAATCTGCGTACTAGCGAAACCCGCACCGTCACCCAGTTCCATTTCCTGTCCTGGCCACAGATGGGCGTGCCGCCGCAAGCCAAGGCGCTGCTGGACTTTAGACGGTGGGTAGCGAATCACGCTGATGATGCCCCATTTGATGCTAACTAATCTCGCTTCTCTTGTAAACCGCAGCAAGGTGAACAAGTCGTATCGTGGCCGCTCCTGTCCTATTGTGGTGCATGGCAGCGCTGGCGCCGGACGCACTGGCTCCTACATACTGTTGGATCTGGTGCTGGGACGCATGAACAAGGGTGCACGCGAAATAGACATTGCCGCCACGCTGGAGCATCTGAGGGATCAGCGCGCCGGCGTGGTGGCCACGCGGCAACAGTTCGAGTTCGTGCTGATGGCCGTCGCCGAGGAAGTGCATGCCATACTAAAGGCTCTGCCGGCGAATACGTCCGGCGAGAAACGTGAACTGGACAAGGAAAGTGGCGGCGCCGCTACCACCAAGGAGCCGCTTAAAGAGGACAAGGCGCAGGAGGCGGCCGAAGAGGAAGCACCCACCAGCAGCAGCAAGGCTGCAGCTGCCGCGGCAGCCAAGGAAAAGGAGCAGCAGAAGGAGAAGGAGAAGGAACAGCAGAAGGAGAAGCAGAAGGAGCAGCCCAAGGTGTCCGTTGAGCAAAAGACGCCGGCAGCTAAGAAGTAGACGCGTCTCACAGTAAAAAACAACAACAACAACAAAAGAATAACCAAAAACAAAAAACATCATTTAGTTCAAATCACGTTTGTTGCAGCGTTTCGGGGGTCTCTAATTTAGTTGTTGTAGTTAGTATTAAAGATAAACGATTTTTGTGTTTGAAATATATACTTTGGTATAAGCACTTGGAAGGTTCGAAAAGGGCAAAACATGGTCGGCTAGCGTTGGAAATACAATTTTAACTCGTTCAGTTACTATATATATACCAAATATACACAGTATACAAATGTGTATTTAGCCTATGTTCAGCACAAATCGCACTAAGCAAAAAAACAAAAGAAAAACCTGTTGGGAACAACCGTGCAACGCTGCCGCAACACTTGCCACACGGCCGGCACGCGGCTCCGGGTGCAACACCAGCCCGTGACATTCGGAGCGCGTCTCTGGTGTTGGTATTCAAGTGTGTGTTGTGCGGCGTTGTGCGGTCCAGCAAATGAAATGCACATATTTTTAACTAGTACATATATACATATTTATATATATATATATAAAACGATATAGGAAAACATATTTGAGTGTTATACAGGACAAAAGTTATTTATATATATATACATATGTGTGTAGATGTTAAGCATTTAAATTCAATTATGAATGCATTTGACATATATCGATGTTGGCATTAAATACGATACCATATGAATACCCTGTACTTTTATGTAAACTCTCTAATCGATGTGCTTGAAATAACCAGCGGAAATACAAGAAAACAAATGGTATACATATGCCGCAGAAACCAAACACATACACACATACACACACATAGACACACACAGACACACACATGCCACATGCCACATACACATACATATACAAGAGCAGACATATACATATACATACCGCATACAAATGAATGCAAAATTTGTACCTAAACAAACAGAAAAAGAAAGAAAATGAAACTAAACTCAAAGTTCTATTTACAACAGATACAAGACGCTATTGATGTGTATGACAATTAATTATACAAGTTTATTATTATATACTTATATTGAACGAGAAAAACAAAAACAAACTAAAACACAAATATTATAAATATATATACAATATACATTATTCATATACAATATGGTGAGTGTCAATATTTATATATAAAACTTATCGTCTTATCGACTAACTACAAAAATATCTGCGTGTAATTTTCCAACAAAAAAACCTATTTGAATATTGTTTTACCAAACCATATGTGTGCGAATTTTATATATACCTATATATTCTATTCTATATTCAGTTTGTCATTAAGCCAATCCTAAAAAACAAAAAAAAAAACAAATGTATCATTTAAAAAAAAAAAGGAAAAAGAAAACCAAAGTAAATACGAGAATGGCATTTGAAGCTAGCTGCAGGTTCGCACAATTTGTGGTCGCGTTTTAAACTCATGTATTTCTCATCTGATTTCGAGGCAGCTAGAAGCGTTGCTCGCAAATTGTTCGGGTTTGCAATGAACAAAACACCCGGGATGAATACATAGTTGGTTTAGGAGCGTGTTTCACACACATATATGTATGTATGAAGGAAAGAAAAACATCTAGATATCGAAGCTTTAAGAATAGATCAAGATTAAACTCAAAATTGTTAATTAATGCTTTTTCAGGCATACGAAAACACTAACACTACACAACCACAACCACACACACACACAGACAGAGAAACACAACACATCTACACGCACACAGTATAACACAAGAAAATACTATCAAATACTAAATGAATTCCCCACTCAGGCATGACCCTTTGAATGTTTCAAAAGGACAATTAGATAAATGTTTAACAGGAACTTAGCAATGAACACATGGTTTAATTGCGGTATATTAAAAATACTGCAGCACACGCTACACTGGACACCAAACAAGGAACAGCACAACAAAGATACAAATGACTACAAAAGATACCCAAATGACTAAAGATAATACAAACTAGTTAAGTAAGTGCAAATTATTCAAAAACCAAAAAAAAAAAACAAATAAAAAATACATTAAATATAAAAAAAAAAATACCAAAAATGAATGAATGAGTAGCAAAGAAGTTGATTTGAAAAATGCCGCAAAAGAAGATGTAACCTAAATAAAATAAAATAAAAAAAATACTGGAAAAAATACCCATAAAAATACTAAATATTTAACAGTTTTCTGTAGCAGTTGATGTTAAATTACATAAATGAGTTATTTGTAGTTTAAAAATGAAAACAAAACAACAAAAAATAACTTTTTGAAAAGCAAATGTCAACTAAATAATATTAAGAGAATATTCGAAAACAAAAATTTACCTAGACGCAAGATTTATTTGTTAGCATTTCCTTCGTTACAAAAAAAAGAAAAACAACGTTTCATTAAAAACTAAAACTACATTTTCACAAACAACACACAAAAGCAAATGAAAAACAATATTACAATAACTGTGGCAAGCCCAACAACAGCTCGCGGCTTGCAAAAATCTCCAAATACTTATAAAAAAAAAACTTATTAACGTGGTAGAAAGTATTCAAGACAAATTTAAAGTTTACAATTTAAAAAAAAAAAAAAAAACACAAATAAATATTACGTAGTGCGTTTTTTCCATTCATTTAACAAACGTTTTTTCAGTGTTTATTAAATACAAAATATTTCCAATTGTTCTTCGACAAAACAAATTAAATAAGTGTACTAAAAAAAAAAGAAAAGGAAGCAGAAGAAGAGCAAAACAACTCTAAATGTATTGTAGTAAAAAGCGTAAAACATATATACATATATCTATAAAAGACAATTATTGATGTATATTTGACATAATAATATTATACTTCAAGTGAAAAAAAAAACAACAACCATGCGTAGAAAATTGAACGGAACTTACACAAAACACACAAAAACGAAGAAGAATAAGAAAATATATAAACTAAATACAATATATATATGTATTAATATGAAAGGCATATATATATAAATATGATTATATATATTTAGAAATAACATATTCACAGCATACAATATACGATATGTATGGGTGCATTATTCAGGCACAGAACTTATCATTTCCTTCAGCTATTTTCATTGATGGTGTAACATAGATATACAAAAAAAAAAAAACAAAAACAAAAATTGGTAAAACTTAAACCCGTACGGACAGCTATTAGCATAAAGCGTAAGGCATAAAGCCTTTGACGCAACGGTACATTATGACCCAGGAGTTTAAAGCCAAGCACAAGCTCCCGCTGGAGCTCTGGGCGCAAGGCTCCGATTGCATAAGTAGGCAACAACTACATATATTAAAGGCTTAGGTATAATTGCAACAATATGCCCAAAGGTCGACACTTGGTTCCTATCGAGCGATACCAGACGCTAGACAGGCTTTAGGTTCTACTGCAGCGAATGGACCCCGGACAGATTTAATGACAGACGAACCGATTACAAAATGGTTTGAGTTCCTATAAACGCAAGCTGACTTTAAATAAATACGGAATACCTACGCAACGCTGGACAGCCTGTAAATACGCACATCTCAACATTGGACAAACTGACAAGAAGAATACTATAAAAAACAAATACCAACCTTAACCCGGACAGATCAGCGCAGTACCCTACAGGCTATAGGCCTACACGATGAGATTTACTAAGGAGAGTGTTACGAGTTCCTGGAGCTTGTCGCAACCCAACCCAGGGTGGGGGTCGTACTCGCTCGATACGATCAAAGTAGTCCGACTTGGCGCAAGTTTTGTTGCGGATAGATTAGTGTGAAATACATATGACGTTCAACCCAAAACTGTACTAAATTAAGAATGTTTCGATTTAATTAATTTACACTTGTTTCGATTGTTTAATTATTTCATCTAATCAAACGATATACAAATACAAATAAATACAAATAATATATGAGCTATATGAACTATATCGTACATCCAAAACTATATATATATATATATATATATATATATATATAGATATGTGTCGTAATTGAAAATTGATTAACCGATAAACACATATATATATATATGCAAAATTAAAATGAATATATCAAAACAAATATATTGCTGTATGTTAAACAATTAAACAAATATACTTAAGCATTAACAAATAAATACCAAGCGCAGGCTTTCATACATTTTTGGAAACGAGAAACGAAAAGTTCACGAACAATTCGAATACGATTAACCAAATATCGATGTGTATAACATAAAACTGAATATTTAGCCACTTGGCCGAAATGTTGTGTTATTAAGCAACAAATACGAAAAACTAAATCAAATCAAAACAAAAAATAATCACAAAAATAAAAAAAAATTGTAAAACCAGCAGAAAAAAAAATTATGCTGGCTGAGGCCACAACTTAACAACTTTTATTATAAATTATAAATAAAACAACACTAAAACAGACAAAATTACACACACACACTAACATAAACAGGCAACAACATGTTTATGGTCATACCTATTAAAGGTTTTTTGTGCAAGCATAATTAAGGAACAATACATACTAAATATATAGAAAAAACAAAAACAACAACAACTAAATATATACGAATATAAATGTATACTTCAATTATTTACGACAAGTACATACATAACTATATACGCATTCAATATATATATATATATATTAAATGTTATTCAGCAAGAAAAAATAAACAAAAAAAAAGAACACAAATACTTTGAATCGATATAAATATGTCCCTATCAGAGGTCACAAGAAGAAGAAGAAGAGGCAGCAGAGAGCTCTCAAGCACACAAATTTAAATGTAACGCGCCATTGTGTAATATGCGCTACATATATATGCTATATATATATATATATATATCACTAAATATATATGTGTGTAACTGGATGTATAAATGTAAAGAAACGAGCAAAAAGCGAACATTTGAGAAGTTTGAAGTTTGAAGGAAACGCAGACAATTGATTATAATATGTCAATATCAATTATGTAGAACCGGTAATAATTACGATTATTATTATAATACATGCCACAATATAATAAAGAGAAACCCAAAAAGAAAAACAAAAACCAAAAACGAAAAACAATCCAATCCAAAACAAAGAGAAACATAAAACATAAAACATAAAACCGATCATTGAAACGATTCGATTCTCAGTGTATTGCACTTACATGTGAAAATGAGAAGCTGCGAGCACAATTTATATTTAAATTACACTGTTTAACAAGGATTATCGATTCCAAAATATCGAACGATATATGCTATATATGCTGTAAAAAGAACACCACTTGCCACACTTCATGGTGCAAGGCGTTCAGCGCGTCTTGCCCCAAATGCTATATAGGTAAATCTCTAAATAGTTTGTAATTTCTGTTCTAACAAACGACAGTCGCAGGTTTGGAGAATCTCAATCAACACACACACACACACACACACGCACACACACACGAGCCCTAATCTACACAACACACAACACAGCCCTTTACAACACTGCCCTGATCAAATTTATACAACACTCTTGCACAAATCAAATGTATTTCGGGATGTTTTTTACTTGGTTGCAAATTTCAAAATTGCTCTTTTTCAGCTTCCCCTCGAATTGGCGTTTTTTCAAAATTTTGTTTGGGTTGAAATTGGCTGCCTTTTATCCTTATATCTACCATATTTATGTATTCGAAATTCTTTTCAAAATTGTTTTGACTCAAAACTAAAACAAACATTGGTTGAAACTGGCAAAAGTTCTTTAATAAAAGTATTTTTTAGTTTTTGTTTTGGAATTTAAACTTATTTTCATTCTAAATTAATTTCATATATTTTCAATTGATTTACTTTTTCTTCAAAAACTTTTTTTTTTATTGAAATAATATTATATGAAATTGGCTATGAAAAAGAAATCTGAAC